TAGCGTTGCCATGGAACTCTGCTAGTGATGAAATGACACCTATTTGTGAATAACCAATGATTGTATAATTCAACCCTGTAAAAGTGTTCAACTGGCCTTGGTCAGTCTTTTTGTTGTATTCTTTCAAAGTTACAAACCATCAAAAAGATGAAAACTGCCAGCCACCTTAAATACAACAAATTTATAACTTGTACTTGTAACAAAATGCTGAAAGGACAATAATGTATCCGTTTGTTTGGTTGTTTTTGTTTTGTTTTTGTTTTGTTTTTGTTTTTTTGTTTGTTTGTTTGTTTTTTTTTTGTTTGTCTTTGTATTGTTCCTTGTGTGACAGTGACAGACTAGCACTTCGTGCCAGCCGATCAAAGGTCAAATCAGTCTTTGCTATTCAAAATGAATCGCAGAAGAAAGCGTTTTTTTTTACGCAAATGTCATTTCCAGACGCAATTACAACTCTAATTACAGTGCTGTTTTGACCAAAGGTGTTCACAGTGAAGTATGTTTACATTTGCATCCGCAACAATCCCTTATGTCGCTTGATTACAGCGATCATAATAAAAAAAAAAAAAGCACGTGAGGGTCGTTATAAAAACAGTGCTTACCCTCTAAGAATCGTAGACATCTAATTTCCTTCAATACTAAGCATAAAAACATTTCGAAATCGCTACCTTTAACTTGGAGATGAAGCAGTAACTACCCGGCCAGCAGTGAGACCCAAAAATCCAACACAATGATATCATGAGCGGATCAGAACAACTCTTCAGAGGGATTATGGATCGAGTTTGTGGGGTAAAATCACGTTTTGCAGGAGAAATATGTAAAAATGATGAGTTGTCAGCCAATACCCCCTAGTGTCTCTCAGCACAAAGATCACTATAAATATAGCATTTTTCGCATTACATCGATCGCGCCTGACATCTGATTCTTTTATTTGATTCGTTATTTTCATGGTTCGAGTACAAGGCTCCGCAAGTTAAATATGTCGCTCAGTGTGGAAGATAGCCGCGCGTTAAAACTAATTTCATCTTTAAGTGTTAAAAATATCTTCTAAGGGCTTCGATCTGTGGTTTAGTAATCTTTAGGAAGTTGCGTGCACGTACATGGAAAACAAGAGGGAACTTGAAATATACTGACTTGAATCGATTCGTAGTTAGTTCGTTCAAGTGTTTTCGTTGTCTCCACTGTCATCTAACATCTGATGTGTAAATCATTTTTATTATTGTTACTGTAAATTTTGTAGAGTGATTTTAAGGGACACTATTCTTATTGTTATTGTAATCATATTCACACGACCCCACAAGCCCCTAGTCTCCCTCGCAGCCGTTTTTTCGGATGTCACGCAACGCTCCCCCAAAAAGAACTTTTTTGGGGGAGCGTTGCGTGACATCCTTTAAAGCCCCTTGCTTTAAACCTCATCGTGTTTAAATAAAGGATGATTGATTGATTGATTGATTGAAGTGTCTTTAATTAGAGCAGCTCGTGTGAAGGGCTCGAACTGCCCAAACGTCTTCAAAGAAATGTTTTATTGGAAGTTATGCTGTGGTTGTTAAAAGTACACAGAAGTCTCTTGATGATTAGAAATTCCTTGATTAATTTAGTTAAGGGTCTAAGGACTTTAGTTGACATATTTTTAACACTACCAATCTACGCTATTAAAACATAATTTTAGTCAGTGAGTTCGCGTTACAGAGGAAACACGCCTTTTCAGGTAATGTTTGACGTAAAACTGAATATGTAGTGATTGTTTTGAATCAAGTCAAATTGGAGTAAAACATTTTCTATGAAAGCTCAAATCATAAACGAAGATTCATATCGTCCTTTTTAAGTCTTTTGATTACTGACACGATTTGTTGTGATCCCTACTCATTGCACACTCTCTACGCTGAACAGCTAAAACGTTTACGAAGCCAATAACGCGAAAATCGAAAAACGATGCAAAGCTGTTTGACCAGTTTGTGATACTAATGGTTATTTCTCCAGATCTGAAGATATTCCGACAATGTATGTGTTCGTTTAAGGACATCCATGTCCGATGAAACCAGCTGACATCACTTCCGGGATTTCACTTAGCCACTTCCGTGAAAACTCGATATGTCGAGATGTTCACATGCCAGCGAAGACGAACCGACCCGGTTGACAAAACTGCAGTAACTGGGGAGAGATCCCCCCCCCTGCCTGGAAGGCTCTCACGGTAGCTTGGTTACGGGCTGGAGTGTGAAAGGGGACCCAGAATGTCTAAATTGTTTGTAACAGTATGTTTCAAAATCGTCACAGTCGTCAAAGAGTGATCCAAAATAAATCTTGAGTGATAAAACGAAGAGAGCTTGTTTTTAACAATGTACCACTTTTAGCCTCAACTTTCTTCTAAAATACTGATTCCGCTGATCAAAAACTGTTACTAGCTCAAGCAAAGCCCCTATGGAAGCGAATTCAAAGCATGAAAAGATTTTCAAAGCTGATCGGAAACAGTCTGCAAAGGATACCCTTTTTAAATGATGGACAATACACGATGCCTCACGTATGGACTATGAACTGTTTCGATTTCTTTTCAAAAATATATCCTGATCAAATTACACATTTTCTGTCGGCATTACACGTACGCAGTGTACTGATACATAGGTCGCCCTGGTCCGTTGGCATTCCCATCAGGCTCTTCGTTCCTTCCTAACGTCTCCAGCCAGTGATATTCCGCTGGTCTGTTGTGCTGCCGTGATGATTTGTGGGGTCCTCTGAGAGCCTTTCTTACCTGGAAATCATTCCTTGGATAATCGGGTTTTCTCGGGTTATCCTCTTCAACGGCGGCGTTTTCCTGTGGAAAATAATTTAATCACATAGAGGTTTGAGCTTAAAACTTATCAAGGCCTGTAAAGCGACTTCGAGTCTTTCTATCTGTCATGATTAGAATGAAAAGTTGTATTCAATAAATCTTTATTTTGAGCTACTAATTAAAGGGTGCAGGAGTGCTGAAAAGAAAAAAAAAAAAAAAAAAAGGAGTGCTGAAAAGGGTAGGAATTGGGGAAACTTCGGGGAAATAGAATGCACCATTGTCCAGGTCTATTATTGTTAATCAAAGAGTGCTGAATCTGTTCTCTTCCTATTGAGTGCAGAGTAATGAATCGTCTCGCCCAAAACAAAACACATTTACCATAGCTAAGGTAGTTTCAATTACTAGAACTGTGAAAAAAGTTAAAAAATCATGTTAAAAATCAGAGTGGCTAAAGTGGTCGATTATGCTGCATGAGTCACGAGTTGCGTCATACCGGCTAAATAAAGTTTTTTAAGACCTTTACATTGGTCCACTTTGTGATTGAGCAGGAAGGATACTCACGCGGCCGAAGCCCGAAAGAACTCGAGGATAGAGAGAGAAGATTCCAAATTCGTGGCTTTAGGTTTTCAGTTGTCATTATTTTAAATACATGGCGGCATGATTTTGAAAATTAACCAGAGAACAACTTATTTAAGGGGGGCTAACTCCAAATTCCAAAGCGAGTTCATGACTTTTGAATACTTACATTTCCATTGACATTAACTCTCCATCGTTTTTTGTGATATTCATTCTCTCGGCGTCTTACTGCCAGAACAAGGAATATCGCGATAAAAATAATGATAATAACTGTCAAGCCAAGTGCAAGAGCGATAGCGATGTAGTCAACATCACTGAGTCCCTCGTCTTGTTCCTCTGGTGGCTGTCCTGTTTCTTCTTGACCTGAAAAGGAGTCAAACCAGTTGTATTAGTGCTAGCATTTTAAAGCGACAAGGTTAGCGAGTAACCAATGAGAGAACCGCATTTTAAAATTGACCAATCAAACGACCAAATCAGTCAACCGAGTTCTACTTTTAAAGACTGGGTTTCTGATTAGTCAACTTTCCAGGTATGGCTCTCTTATTATTAGTAGATATTTCAATTACGGTCCTTGCACATCACTTTTGTTAGAACCTGTCAGTGTGGATGTGGCTATTCGGAAACGTGGCTAAAGAAGAGGTCTAAGTCACATTTGAGTCTTTCCCGAATTTTGATTGGCGATCAAATTGAAAGAATTTGGCATGTATGCTTCCAATACGATGTTCATGTAGGACCTCCAATTATAAATGCGCCTCCCCTGCCCCTCCCTTCCCTCCCTCCTCCTCCCCTTTCAGAAAGCCCTTCCCTCCTCCCCTCCCCCATCAGTAAGCCATTCTTGCATTGCTTTGGTCATTATAATGCACTAAACAATTATTCACCAAAATGAAGGTAAAGTAGCAAAGCGATGGATATTTACCGAGCGGCTTCGGTAAATGTTCCTCACTTTCACCGATGATGAGGCAAATCCAATTCAATTGTTATTGTATGTAGCAGTGAAAAACCCAAAAATAAGTATATCATGCCCAGTCAATGTACCAAAAATTGTCGGATATTGGACTCTCAACGCTCGATTTTGTCTCTGGCTGCTCATAGGTAAAGAATACCTGCTGTTCTCCTTCGAGCTTGCCAATCAGCGCGCTCGCGAAAAGTACCACTCGCCGGTCATTTAAACAAAGTTTAGCCATTGTTTCACAAAACCGCGTCCTAAACAATCCTCTATTCAGCTGGACCTTTTATCTGAGCATTTGTTTTTGTGAATAGTGTCAAGAGGGCCGAGAGCTAGCAGTGGAAGGCCATTTTTAATTAAATCAACCCTCTTATAATTAAAGCCTAGGGCCCACTGATTTCTTAAAGCCGTGGTTTGAGGCAGACCTCGTCTAACTAACCAACCCTAATAGCAATTGTACTTAAAATTGTAACCATCCACTGAGTAAGTACAGTAGCAGTCGGGTAGATCTTTAATGTAGACGCAAACCGGCTTTCAGAAGTGTGCTACGAGAGTGAATACTCACCACCTGTTGAAGAGACTAGTTGAATTTCCTTCAATACCTTTGAGTTGTTTGCTTTGCAAATGTACAAGCCAGCATCTTCTGTAGTGAGGTTAGAAAGGACTAAACTTATGTTGTGTGAGGTAGTGTTCAGCAGAGTCTCATCGTCCTTTGTCCATCTTAAAAGAGTGGAGGAGGATAGGTTTCCGTTACCACAGACAAGGGTGATATTTTCTCCCGGTTCGAATGTCTTTTCCTCTGGCTCTGAAAAAAATAAGATGGCTCTTATCTCGTAACATGTCTCGGTTCCGCCATGACTGGTCAGTAGTAATCAAATAAATAGAAAAAGGCTGGCCAAAGGATATTCTCGAAAAATATCTTTGAAGTAGAAGTTTGCTTTGTATCCATAGAATTTGTTTTTCTGCGCCGTTCAAAAGTGCTTATAGAATTTCACTACTTACTGCACTTTGAGATTCCGAAGAGCAGCTCACCCTTAAATAATTATCTTCAAATGTACTTAAATTTCAAAACGAGCTTCGTCATTTTGAAAACAGTTCAGTAACCTGACCATATATACAGTCATGTACGCGCTGGAAGTCCCAAACTTCAATTCACATAATAGGAACCTAACGCGAGAGACCAAGTAGCCCCTCGTTGTTGTTTTACACCTGATTCATCTAAAGAGTGGCAGAAATGTTTTAAAAACAATTGCTGAACATGAGTGTGATCAGTTGCTATAACAAAACGCAGACAAAAACAAACAAACGAACGAAACAAGTAAAGGAAACGCAAGTATAAAAAAAAAAAACTGACAAACAAAATAACGACCCTATTTAGGTAATCTCCCTCGCAGAAGTTGTTTAGTCTCGCTTTCTGAAGAAGCCGTGTATGTTGCTCTACGAGATCAACAGAAAAACCATCTGCATAGGAGATCATATCACAGGTAACTGATAAGCATCAGTTCTAGTGATCAATGTGTTTTTTGTTCGAATCGTCTTCTCACAAACTTTCTAGAACATGAAAACCTCCCAAGCGACGATAAAAGTACTGATGGGCCACTTTGAGTTAAAGTGAGTGTATGATCAAGCGAAGCGCGCATTTATTTTTCTAATGTGAAGAGGAGGGGTATCTTTTTGACAAGCGAGTGCCACCTTTGATTTGAGCGGAAAGCTGAGAGAGAAAGAAATTTGTACCAAGGAAGTGAGCGAAGGTTAAGAGGAAGCAGAGATAAAGGGGTTGGGCCTTCCCCGCCCCCTCCCCCTACCGTCCGCTGGCCACTCTTACGGCTCTAAATGAAACAAACTAAGGTAAGCTTGTAACATTAACCCGCCCTAATATGATAAGACAGGGGTCGCACTAGCTGTGGCCTTAATTTTTTTCTGTCGCGTCATAAGATGTCCCACAAATATGTCGCGACATTTACACCACGGGAGTCATGGAGGTCGCACTCGTGCGACATAAATGATATTGAAACCAGACTGTCAACTCTTAATATTTCACGCGCGAAAAAGAGCACTGAATATAATTTTGTAGACATCAGGCTGGTGTTTGTTTTATTAGCGACATTTCTTCAATCTCTGTTTAATTTGTTTCATGTACAAAACCCTATGGTTTGTACGCATTGTACAACACTCGCCAACGGCAAATGTTGGCTCTTGCCGCTTTAAACCGACGTCGACGGAAGCAAAAAAATGGGAAAAGATCTGCGAGCCAAAGGGTGAAAACAAGCCATCCCCATACTGAGAATAATCAGATGAATAGTGCAAATTTGTAAATTGGTATGGGTTGAAATTCGCCCTAAGGACCAGATGAAACGTTGTAAAGAAAACTGGTGACGTGTTGTCTTTGCGGAATTTCGAAAATCCAATTTTTGCCGTTATTTCGGACTTGATTAACGTTGCGACAGAAGAATAGCAAAAAAATGTTTATTTTAAGGCCATTAGACAAGATATGACCTGCTTCGAGGCAGGACATCGGCTTTTTTTATCTTTTGGTCCTTCGGACATAGTCATGTCTGGTCGTGACAAAAGGGTCGCACTTGTCGCAAGCATGCGATGACAGATTTTA